GGGTAATGCACACCCCGCACCGGAGCAGTGCACTGTGGGTAATGCACACCGGACCGCAGCAGTGCACTGTGGGTAATGCACACCGCACCGCAGCAGTGCACTGTGGGTAATGCACACCGGACTGCAGCAGTGCACTGTGGGTAATGCACACCGGACTGCAGCAGTGCACTGTGGGTAATGCACACCGCACCGGAGCAGTGCACTGTGGGTAATGCACACCGCACCGGAGCAGTGCACTGTGGGTAATGCACACCGCACCGGAGCAGTGCACTGTGGGTAATGCACACCCCGCACCGGAGCAGTGCACTGTGGGTAATGCACACCCCGCACCGGAGCAGTGCACTGTGGGTAATGCACACCGGACCGGAGCAGTGCACTGTGGGTAATGCACACCGGACCGCAGCAGTGCACTGTGGGTAATGCACACCGCACCGGAGCAGTGCACTGTGGGTAATGCACACCCCGCACCGGAGCAGTGCACTGTGGGTAATGCACACCGGACTGCAGCAGTGCACTGTGGGTAATGCACACCGCACCGGAGCAGTGCACTGTGGGTAATGCACACCGCACCACAGCAGTGCACTGTGGGTAATGCACACCGGACTGCAGCAGTGCACTGTGGGTAATGCACACCGCACCGCAGCAGTGCACTGTGGGTAATGCACACCGGACTGCAGCAGTGCACTGTGGGTAATGCACACCGGACTGCAGCAGTGCACTGTGGGTAATGCACACCGCACCGGAGCAGTGCACTGTGGGTAATGCACACCGCACCACAGCAGTGCACTGTGGGTAATGCACACCGCACCGGAGCAGTGCACTGTGGGTAATGCACACCCCGCACCGGAGCAGTGCACTGTGGGTAATGCACACCCCGCACCGGAGCAGTGCACTGTGGGTAATGCACACCGGACCGGAGCAGTGCACTGTGGGTAATGCACACCGGACCGCAGCAGTGCACTGTGGGTAATGCACACCGCACCGGAGCAGTGCACTGTGGGTAATGCACACCCCGCACCGGAGCAGTGCACTGTGGGTAATGCACACCGGACTGCAGCAGTGCACTGTGGGTAATGCACACCGCACCGGAGCAGTGCACTGTGGGTAATGCACACCGCACCACAGCAGTGCACTGTGGGTAATGCACACCGGACTGCAGCAGTGCACTGTGGGTAATGCACACCGCACCGGAGCAGTGCACTGTGGGTAATGCACACCCCACACCGGAGCAGTGCACTGTGGGTAATGCACACCGCACCGCAGCAGTGCACTGTGGGTAATGCACACCGGACCGGAGCAGTGCACTGTGGGTAATGCACACCGCACCGCAGCAGTGCACTGTGGGTAATGCACACCGCACCGCAGCAGTGCACTGTGGGTAATGCACACCGCACCGCAGCAGTGCACTGTGGGTAATGCACACCGGACCGGAGCAGTGCACTGTGGGTAATGCACACCGCACCGGAGCAGTGCACTGTGGGGAATGCACACCGGACCGGAACAGTGCACTGTGGGTAATGCACACCGCACCGCAGCAGTGCACTGTGGGTAATGCACACCGCACCGCAGCAGTGCACTGTGGGTAATGCACACCGGACCGCAGCAGTGCACTGTGGGTAATGCAGACCGCACCGCAGCAGTGCACTGTGGGTAATGCACACCGGACCGCAGCAGTGCACTGTGGGTAATGCACACCGCACCGGAGCAGTGCACTGTGGGTAAAGCACACCGCACCGCAGCAGTGCACTGTGGGTAATGCACACCGCACCGCAGCAGTGCACTGTGGGTAATGCACACCGGACCGGAGCAGTGCACTGTGGGTAATGCACACCGGACCGCAGCAGTGCACTGTGGGTAATGCACACCGGACCGGAGCAGTGCACTGTGGGTAATGCACACCGGACCGGAGCAGTGCACTGTGGGTAATGCACACCGGACCGCAGCAGTGCACTGTGGGTTATGCACACCCCGCACCGGAGCAGTGCACTGTGGGTAATGCACACCGGACCGCAGCAGTGCACTGTGGGTAATGCACACCCCGCACCGGAGCAGTGCACTGTGGGTAATGCACACCGGACCGCAGCAGTGCACTGTGGGTAATGCACACCGCACCGGAGCAGTGCACTGTGGGTAATGCACACCGGACCGCAGCAGTGCACTGTGGGTAATGCACACCCCGCACGGAGCAGTGCACTGTGGGTAATGCACACCGCACCGCAGCAGTGCATTGTGGGTAATGCACACCGCACCGCAGCAGTGCACTGTGGGTAATGCACACCCCGCACCGGAGCAGTGCACTGTGGGTAATGCACACCGCACCGCAGCAGTGCATTGTGGGTAATGCACACCGCACCGCAGCAGTGCACTGTGGGTAATGCACACCCCGCACCGGAGCAGTGCACTGTGGGTAATGCACACCGCACCGCAGCAGTGCATTGTGGGTAATGCACACCGCACCGCAGCAGTGCACTGTGGGTAATGCACACCCCGCACCGGAGCAGTGCACTGTGGGTAAAACGCCTCAGAGCCTCGACTACAGGCCTGCGATATATAATGCATAAAAAAGACTTTTAATATTAAGTTAAACT